CAGAACAGCATGTTTTTGTGTGGTGCGTTGTGTCTAAAAGCAATACCTCACCCTAATTGATATTCAAGCGCAAGTACTACGGTATTAATTTCAAGTGACTTTATATGGCGAAATTGACAAGCACCTCACAGATGAATGACTTTTCATATGCATGCTGCCATAATGGCTACTAATACTCAATCCCGTGTCGTGCTTTAACATCACTTCGCCTTATATGAACATATCCTCGTTAAGACTTGACCACCTTTGGTGGTATATAAGAGCTTCAACTAGGAACGGTTATTCCATAGTATATCTATCTCATTTAATTGATTTGTCCCTAAGTGGATAGTAGCTAATGAACGCATGCTTGGACATTTTCTTCTAACTTAATTGTAACTAACAGGTTGTAGGTTTAGTAGAATTGATTGCTACATCGATTTTGTCCACAATGATGTAAATATGTAACTCCGTTTTACGGTTAATATATTGTTACTTATGTTATGATAAGCTTAATGAATGTTATTCTCCAAATATGTGATTATGAAATTTACGAGAAAGCAAGTGATACTGCTTTATTCTATTACAAAATCACAATAATTATCTACTTGAATTTTGCATTCAAAGCTTGTCCCACCAAACGTTTTCTTTACCTACACGGAGCTCATTCCAATCACACAACTCAGGATCTACTTCGTTTATCCCATTGCAAACTGCACGATCAGAAACGCGAACTACGGTTAGTTCATCGTCGCAAAGTCCTGTTCGTCGGATAAATTCAGCCATCTGAAATTGAGATGCATAAAACGCTCTGAATGCACTGAGTAGCTGAAATCTAGAAACAAAATTTTCAAAATTTCAAAAGAAAAATTACCATCGGTATAGTGTGAGGCATAATAGGCCCTCCATCCAATTCTAGCACATACTCCATGTCTTTCCGCCGAATGACTTGAGAAGACTTCTAAAAACTACAGGTCTAACGCAACTAGAAGAGACACCTTTTAACTGCTGTGTGAACCTTAGAATTATAGCAAAGCCATTCCACCCACTAATTGAATGATGATACAAGCCCAACCAAGAATAATCAATGCTATGTTTTTGAGGAATACCTTGAGCGTTTGCATCTGCGCAAAGAGAAACGGTTGAGCTGCAGTTAATGTGGGAGGTAACTTGGCGTGTGGCCCAGCTATTGAACGGCATACTCGTGACGATTGCAGCAAGTTGTATAGCGTTTGAACGTCTGCTCCCTGCAATCAGGTAGACCATTAAAAATACCTATTTGTTGGAAGTTTTTATCACTTATCATTGGCTAATAAGTGTCGATAGTGATTAATAAAAGCGTGAGTGAAACTAATGTTGTGTACTCACTTTTACCAATACCGCTGCCATCTCCTCTAATTCCGACTTCGAATGGCCACCATCGGATAAGTTCGAAGAAGACCCAAGCGATTTACTGAAAGTGTCCAAAAATTTGTCCGAATAGGGAACAGGAAATCTCGGTTTCACCATAGTGTAAGGATCAAAGGAGGGGTAGTTTGGTTGACAACATTAAGGAGAAATGAGAAATCGCTATTCATACCAGCAACCTCTGTAGCCAGCGCTAATTAATGGTTAGAAGTGCATTGCTTAATTTTGCATTTGATCAACATCACTTGTTAGTTTTCTCATCTTCTTGTTGGCTTCTTAAGAGCATACAGGCGATTCTCCCATTCCGAGCCCATGCCGCCGTTATCTCTTACGGTATAAAACAGGCTCGATGGAGTCTATAATCTCGCGGTCCACTTGATTCCATCAACCGCAGGGCTTTCTTCCTGATACCTCACCCGATTAATACAGCAGCTAGGGTTTTTGCCTTCCTCTGCCTGACCAAGAATGGTCGCCAATCGTGGCACACAATATGGGTGAGAACGGTAGTGACAAGAGGCTCATCACTATCAAAGAGTTCTCAGAGGTGGGAGAGTGAGAAGGTGAGCGGTAGCACAAGGTCTCCGTTTCCCAAATACGATTTCGAGAACGTTCATCAGATGCACATAATACACCTATCTATTCACATACAATAGCAATGTGACTCACTATCTCTTGAGCTTCGCAGATTTTCTTGGAGACATTCCAATGTTCTCTAGCCATTCGTGATCTCCAGATAAGTCGGCTTTCCCTGGGCTGTAACAAAAAACTGAAAACCGTCAGACTTGAGGCTTAGACTTTAAAGTAAAAAAATATAGCAACCTCTTGTCCGATTCACTCTCGCTCGTGACGTTTTCCTTATTCCCTGAGTTATCGATTTGATCTTTTTCTGAGAACATTTTTCTTGAAATTTAATTACATTGCAATTCCAAAGCCAAGTAGGTAAATTACCGTAAGAAAAGCGCGGCGGTTGACTCTGAGTAACACCTTGCCAATCGAAGTTAGATCTTGAGTCTCCATCCATGCTAAACTTGAAGGACGCGGATGTTCTTGCTTTGGAACGATGCCGGCGACGGAGAACTTCGAATTCAACGCCTTAATATATTACTTTACACGTAATTGTCAAGGTGAAAGTGACGGTAAAGCGAACTAACGCAACTGTTTCGATATACCTATTTCTTTCTGCAGCCAAACGTGTGACAGCTTTCAAATTATTAGTATCACCGAACAGTCTACTCCAATGAATTGTAGCTTTGGTTGAGCCAGGAACAGTTTGATCCCATGAGCGCTGCAGCTCAGCTCATGGGATCAAACTGCTACCCTAACACTCCTTCAGCTTATGAAAGATATGGAAAGGCAGACAACGACAAAACTATTCTAAAAGTCTTATATTTGTTTGAGTACCTTCACTTTTGAGGTACTGCCGAAATCCCACGGTGGTCGGTGTTATTATGGCGACATGTCGTAGTCCTCCGCTTGTTTGGAAGCACGATAAAGAATCCTCTCCAATCACTGTAAAGGAATATACCCTTCAATGGCTTGTGAACGCCAAAAGAGAACCGATTGAAAATAAGTATCACTTAACGTAATAAAACTACTACATATTTAGATATGATGTAACTGCATACTAAGCATGGGAACACTAAACCGACAATTCTTGAATTTTTTGATATGAACTCAGTGGGTCGGTATAGTGAACTACACCCAGCATTCGATTGAATACCAATCGATATCTCACAAATTTCTCTACTGCGCTTTTTTTGAATAGTGGAGATTGTTATCCTTAGAATAAATCGTGGCCTTCTCCAAACATTTCTCTGTCAGATTTTTTAACAGCTATTTATGATATGATGCGATTTTAGTAAAAAGGGTCTCAATTTTTTGCTTGTAAGATAGCAAGTGGTTGAAACTCAAAAAACAACAACAAAGCAGCCGAAAAGTGAAACCTGGTTCGTCGGCGCTTATTTTCGTGAATAAAACGGTGAATGATGAACATGACATGTAGAAGCTTCTGCGATCGCCCTTCTTCCATGACAAGAAGAGTTGGTCGAAACATTCCGTCCTAAAGAACAATCAAGAGACATGGAGCAATTTACAATAAGTGTTAGTGCTACAGATGAATGAATCTACCACTGAATATCGAGGGCTTCCAAACAGGAGGGTGGCATGGTGGACATCGACTCGGTCGCACTTGTAGACGCGCCGACCAACGAATCAATTCGAGGATAAGCCGTCACCCAAGGAAGACAAGGGAACTGCCAGTAGAGACACGCAGCTTCTAACAAACCCATATGAGACACATCTGAGGGAATGTCCAACAGTGATCGCGAGCGAAACTGCAAAAGTTTGCATAAATAGCGAGGTGGAAGTGAAGCAAGTGATCAACTTACATCGGTCCCAACAACTTTTAAAAAAGTCTGCAGTCCTTCATGTCTCTGTTGACCGGTAACACGGACGGGGACTACTCCTGAACACAAACACTTCGAATAATAAAAGAGATATAAGAAAAAGGCTCGCCACGGAATCGCAGTCAAACATGGCCACAGACAAAGAAAGGAAGTTTGAAATGGAATAAATGCATCGAAATTTCTACCTGGACCTACAACATCTCGCATCCACGGATACGGTTTCCTGGCTACGAGTCTCAACCTCGTGCCCAGCCTAAGATCAGTAGGAATTGAATCAGAAGAACAGGTATCGACTTGGGCCGTTGAAGGAGAATTGTCACCACAGAATATGTCAGAAAAGTCGGTGGCGAAAGATTCTTTCAGGGACTGATCCTGCATAAACAATATGATGTGAAAATCGCTGCAAGTGTGAAACATGACAAAAAAAAAGAATAAAAAAGGAGAAAAGACGCAGCGATAAAAAGAACTCACGGAGTCGCCTACAAAGGATCGGGAAAGAGAACGCTTCATCCTATTGCTCTGGCAAAGAACTCTGGAAATGTTGTTTAAATCTAGAGCTATATGTCAACTATGTGACCAAGAAATTCACCGTTCATTAGAGAAGGGATCGTTGGCGTTCGAATCGTCCCAACTGATGGATACATCAAACGAGACACGCTCTTCTCGCTGCTCCTCTTTTCGCCGCTTTTTCATTGGAGAGGAACGCTCAAAAAGGAAACTCAAAAAAGAAGGTAGTTTTGAATATTTGATGCTCCTTGCATTAGAAACGTCAACACTCGTTAGTTATTTAAGCGGACTTCTGTGTTGGACAAGCCAGACCTAACCTGGATATGTAGCTATATATTAGATCTGGTACTAATACAAACAAAGCACAAGATAGCCAGTTATTAGGCCGGTGTCAGAGTCCGCGATCGTCGCACGATTCGCGCGAATCACGCGACGGATCACAGAAATCACAAGTGCCCGATCAATACTGCAAGGTGCTCTCCAATCCCGCCGCCATTTCTGCTTGATGGTGATGGCTGAATGACGACTGCTCATGATTCTACTTGTTTCATATTCAGTGTTTCAAATGTTCAAATGGGGCACTTGCGATTTTTGCGATTCGCGCGATTAATCGCGGACCCTGACACCAGCCTTGGAATTACGCAAAGCCTAGAGCCCATTTCTCGATAGTCAGGCACTTCTGACACCCGCTAAAGCAGACCTGGTCGAGAGATGATGCGTGAGGGATTCAAGTAGGCTGGAGACTTCAATGTCTCGATTCTCACGAACTAACAAACATTGAGTTGTGTCGCTAGGAAATTTGCGTCACCGCATCTATGGCAAAAAGCAATGAACTAATATTAATCTGAAAAAAAATTTGACCTTACCTTGAACGGATTACTTCTCCCATGACCCTTCGACAATTCATGACACTCATCTTTTGTGTTGCTTTCATTACCGGTCCCATCGAAAGACACAGTAAGAGAGCGAGAACTGAAACCGATGCAGATAACGACTAGAACCCAACAGAAGATTGGTTTTGATTCATCATCATATGATCGAAGTTGTGCCCTACCCAGTGGGCAACAAAACATTTTTTTCCTGACCTGCTTCCCCTCTTTAGATGCTTCTTGAGCCTTTCGCGGGGGTTCTTCCAAGCCGGCGATTTTCCTGCAGTACTCTCCTCCATATTATTACCGTTATGTT